CCACAGGTGGGATGGGTCCGTGCCTGGCCTTGAGCTCCTCCCTGTTCGGAATGGGGGACTTGTGTGTGTGTGTGTGTGTGTGTGTGTCCCTGTGCTCACTTCTGAAGGCGGAGCGCTGTCCCCTGGGCACAGGGATGGGCGTCGTGGAGGGAGGGGCGGCAGCTCTCCCGCTGTCCCTCAGAGCCGAGGAGCAGCCTTGGATGCAGCTCCATCTGAGAGACACTGACCGCGGCCCCTTCCTTGCCACCCGCCCCCGCTGACACAGGCCATGTTCGAGCTGGTCACCTCCGAGGCGTCCTACTACAAGAGCCTGAACCTGCTGGTGTCCCACTTCATGGAGAACGAGCGGCTGAAGAAGACGCTGCACCCGTCCGAGGCCCACATCCTCTTCTCCAACGTGCTGGACGTCATGGCCGTCAGCGAGCGGTGAGGCCGGGGCTGGCAGCCCCAGCGTCTACCCCTGCGTGGTGGGATGTTGCACTTGACATGGAACGGCCAGAGAGTAAACCCAGAGTCCCTCGACCCTCCCGGGGTTAAGGGGCCCGCGCCCTGGGTCCCTCGGAGCTGTGAGGATCCGCTGGGCCGGCCTCTCTGTGTTCCTCATGCTGACCCCACCTGGATGTGGACGGTGACTCCCCAGTGCGCCGGGGTCCCCTGGTCCCACCCAGGGGGATGTTCTCAGACTGATGCAGCCGCTGTCTCCGGCAGGTTCCTCCTGGAGCTGGAGCACCGGATGGAGGAGAACATTGTCATCTCCGACGTGTGCGACATCGTGTACCACTACGCAGCCGACCACTTCTCGGTCTACATCACCTACGTCAGCAACCAGACCTACCAGGAGAGGACGTACAAGCAGCTGCTGTGTGTGCCTGCGTGGGGTGGCGGGCACTCCTGTCTCTCACCTCTAGTTCTCAGGGTGCCACCGGGGCCCAGAACGGGGATGCAGCTGGGGACAGGATGCAGACCCAGCAGGTCGCAGGGCATTTTGGTGTCAGTAGGGAACCGTTGAACCCGCGACCCTGACACAGTCTGCTTGGACCTGTGTCCTGGCCAGCAGGGGCACTGGGGACTCGGGGAAGAGTATAAGGCCAGGCTGTCAGAACCGTGGGTTTGAACTCTCGACGGGCCAGGTCCGGGTGGGAAGGAGGCTCTCTGGTGTCGTGCAGCAACAGCCTTGAATTTATTGCTTCCCTACTCCCCTAACCTGCCCTTGAGGGTTCTGTTGACAGGATGGGTTTTCAGTCAACTTAGTGTCTTCGAATTCTTTGCATTGACATAAATGGCTGGGGCCAGCGGGATCCCTCTCAGCTCTGCTTGGGGTTTGGGGGTGTTTCTGGAATGAACTGTCTGAGACAGATAGAAGGGTCTCCCACCGAGGAGCCTCTAGCTGGAAGGGAAGAGCGGCCTCTGTACGTCCTGGAAACAGAGGGGGTCGGGCTCCGTGGGGCGGGGACACCTGTGCGAGTTGTTGGCTGGAGGGGTGAGCGGTGGCAGCAGCGCCTGGCCCCCGCTGGCCCTAGGCCCTGGGGGGCATCCTGGGGACACTTGCTAAGAAGAGCAGACCTGACAGGTGGCCCCATTTTCATGGGGTGGGCCCTGCAGACAGTTGGCAGAGTGACCCACAGCACCTAAAACGCTGCGCTCCATGGGAAGCACGTGGTTAAGTGTGGACGTTTGAGAGCCCGTGGATCCGCACACGTGGGTGTTTGACGTATGTGTTTGGGAACTGAAATTTGAGGGAATCACATGCTGCTGTTGAGACCAAACACCGGGAAGGCAAGTCCCGCAAAGGCAGCGCCTGTATAAGGTCTGATAAAATGAAATGAGCCAGACGCTTAAATTTTGAAAAACATATTACAGTAAAAGACACACTGCCAATAATCTCCCTCAGAATACTTCCCCACACTTTGGACATCCCTATGCCGTCTCCCCTGCCATTTCTTTTTATTAGACCGTGTTGGCAGGGAGGTGGTACCCAAACTCAGTACCTCTTCCTTCTGTCTTTTTCAGCCCCTGCCCCTCCCTCCCTGCTCCTTCCAAACCTTGGTCTCCTTGCTATTTGCAAAAGCTCTATTTTCATCATCTTTTTTCCCTTTTTTTTAAAAAAATCCCCTTCCCCTCCCTCTTGCCGCTTTCTGAAAGCAGCTTTAGAAATCCTCTTCTGCAAGTGTCTTTGTTGTGCTGTTGTGGCCGCCTGGATGTCCTGAAATGATTTAAAACATTTGCTTTTCATGGTCATTTTGACTTTGGGGAAGAGGAAGGAGCCTCACGGTGCCAGACCTGGTGACGGAGGAGGGTAAGGACAGTGTGTCGTGTTTCCACCAGCCTTCCTTCCCATTGGATGGAACTTGGCGGCAGCAGTCACTATATATTTTTTTTATCACATCTCGCAAGGACACTCAGGAAGGAGGATTTACAGAACTGCTTCAGAGAGTGGCAGGAGGTGGCAGGACATGTTCAAAGCAAGGGGAGATTTTGGGGGGGCTCATGGCGATGTATCTTTTACTGTGATATTTTTTAAAAACACTCACTGTATATTTTGATCATACCCTGTGGAGGGCAGTGCCCAAGACCCTCAAGTGTGACCCCTCACCGTGCCGAGTGCCAAGCACCTGGCCAAGTTGCTGCAGGCAGAGCACAGCTGCCCTGCACGCGTGCCGAGCCCGGGACTTAGCTCCACAGCTCAGCTCCGGAGCCCCGATGTAACCGCTGGCCCCGGCAGCCATCTGGAGCCAGCTCCTGGGATCACGTGGGCTCACCTCACCACGCTTTCGTGCTGCGCGCAGTCACCTAATTGTGCGTCTGACTCACAGGCTTGGCCGCTCCAGGAGTTCTTGCCTCCCACACACACTTATTTTGCAAGGCTCCCCGGGCTGGGCATGGGAAGCCACTGCTGTTTGAAGTGTGCGGGAGCAGTGTGTTTCCCATGAAGGAGCGAGTGAAAGGAGGAGCCGAGGGGCCGGGCTTTCAGTGCCCGTGGGCTTCTCCTCTGGGGGACGTGGACGGGTGGAGCCTGGCCTGAGACCCGCTGCCATGTCTGTGTCCCCAGCCAGGAGAAGGCAGCTTTCCGGGAGCTGATCGCGCAGCTGGAGCTGGACCCCAAGTGCAAAGGCCTGCCCTTCTCCTCCTTCCTCATCCTACCCTTCCAGAGGATCACCCGTCTCAAGCTGCTCGTCCAGGTACAGCCCCTCCACACGCGGTACGCGTCTCCTTCCATCACTACCATCCAGGCTCTTGGCTTTCTGGGAAATCCGTTTGCTCCACAAATACTAATTAAACCCCTGCTGTGTTCCAAGTGCTTTCTTAAACTGGGAACCACATTCCAGCAGGGAAAGACCGATGAAGCACCCCAATAAAGGGTTAATTCTCTGGCCACTGTCAGTGCAGGGGTTGAGAAAGATGTGACACTGAAGGTGAGACTTGGCTTGGTAAGAACTGGCCAGGTGACCACGTAGAGGAAAGAGCATTCTGTATAAAGGGAACTGAGTGTGCAAAGGCCCTGAGGCAGGAAGGTGCACAACGAAAGTTCCCTGTGGTGAGCTCAGGAACATGGTGCAGTGAGTGTGAGGTGGAATAGGTTAGTGGGGCTGGTTGTGAGCTCAGCTGTTGAGTATTAAGTTCAGGTTAAAGGGAGAGGTCAGGGTCCGAGCTCCAGCACCTGGGGGTGTTTAGGAGAACATACCATCCCGGAAGAGGATAGAACATCAGACCACGCCTGGAGGACACATCATGGGGTAGGGTGAGAGATACAGCAGGCCCTGGGGCAACAGACAGGCATCCTGGGAGGGGAGCCCTGCCCCACCATGTGGCCACAAAGGAGGAGTGTCCAGTCATGTCCTGAGCTGCAGGAAGCCACTGGCATTGAGGCAGGAAGGGAGCCTGACTGGGCTCTGTCTGTAACCTGGGGGTCTGGGCCCAGGGAGGTCAGAAGTCACAGCCAGACACGCCACAGTGAGGCTGGGGGCAGAGCACACGCCAGGCTAAAGAACCCACATGTCCTCCTGCGAGGCCACTGTCATGGCCTGGTCAGGTGGAGCTTTTATTCCAATGAGGAAAAACAGCCCGGCCTGCACTGTTTGCCTGGGATGTGGATTTGGGAGCAGGGGACGAAGACTGACAGGGTTTGGTGACAGCCATGCTTGATGAGGGGAAGGGAGGCCTCTGTGGTGGCCCACGGTCCCTGACTTGACAGAAGAGAGGCCGAGTGGTGTGGGGGTATTGTGCCAAAGTCCCAATTTATTACACTAATTGAAGAAAATAGAACAATTAGAAAGTGTTTTTACCATAAAGGACAAAGTTAACAAAGCCTAGGGACAAGGTGGCCTTGGATTAAAGGCAGGGACCCCCGCCCCCACTCCAGGCATTAACCCATCAACCCTCTGGGGAAGGAGTAGAGAAGGGGCAGTTGGGTTAATCCTGCAGAGCCTCAGGCCGCCAGTACTGTGTGTGTGTGTGTGTGTGTGTGTGTGTGTGTGCGCGTGTGTGTGCTGCACACTGAGAACTAACTGTCTGCCTGTCCTGGCTCAGAACATCCTGAAGAGGGTGGAGGAGAGGTCGGAGCGCGAGGGCACCGCCCTGGATGCCCACAGGGAGCTGGAGATGGTGAGTGGCTGCCTCCTCACACGTCTCCCCGGGATCTGCTTTGGAAAAGTCATGGGGTGAGAAGCTCACTGCTGTCACTAGAGCAGAGCCTTTGCCACCCTGCTCTGTTCATGTGGAGGGGCTTGGAGCAGCCACACCGCCCTGGGAAGAACCTCCCCTGCTTCCTGTACCTTGGCAGCAGCCTCCCTGGGCCACAGAAGGCCATCAGACCCCAAGAGGTCTCCCTGTGGTTAGCCCGGGGCCAGGGCTTGTTTTCTATTTTAAGTCCTTTGCTCCTCTCATTTCCTCTGTCAGGAGCTCTAGGGGCTGAGCCTAGGGTGTTTGCACTGAGCTGCAACCTCAGCTCTGTTAAAAAGTTTTTTACTGAGTGGCCCAGGCTGAGCTGGAACATGCAACCCTCCTGCCTTAGCCTCCCAATGTGCTGGGATTCCAGACACGTGCCACCACACCCAGCTTGCTTTTTCTTTCTTTTTTTCCCCATTAAGTTTACTGGTACATTTTAGGTGTACAATACAGTTACATTCTTGTAACTTTACATGATGTATCTTGGTGTTTCCTTTTTCTTTTAATGAAAGGTACACTGTTTCTTATAGCTTATTTTTTCAAAATAAATATTTTCTCTAATTTATAAAAGTAACTGATGCTCCATACAAGAAAATTCAGAAAATGCTCATAAGCAAAATGGCAATAACAGAGATGCCAGCCTGCTCCACAGCCGTGGCTGATAGGCTGCCTGCTGCCTCCTGCCTTCTGGACAGACGCCTGCACATGCACAGGGCGCACAACTGCATTCATTGCAAAGAAAGACTGTGGTTCCTAAGCCCCAGCTTTTGCTCTCCAGTTTAGCATGCACAGAGCAGCCACCACACCGATACACCGTAACTATCTTAGCAGCTCTATTTGAGGGACGGGGTTGGCCCCTGTCCATTCCTCTTCCTCTGACATCACACTGCAGGTCCAGGACCACTGCATGTGCCTGGTCACAGTGGTGGCCAAGGCCCCTGGACACCCTGGTGCACCGTGCCCTCCTTGTTGTAGGTGGTGAAGGCGTGCAATGAGGGTGTCAGGAAGATGAGCCGCACGGAGCAGATGATCAGCATTCAGAAGAAGATGGAGTTTAAGATCAAGGTGAGCCTCACCGCCCACCCCGCTGTCTGGACTTCCTGCCTGAGAGCCGGCTGCCTACCCTGGGTCAGCCCTACTCTGGGCCACTCGCTGTGACCTTGAGCAGGGCACAGTGACAAGGGCCCGTGGTAGGGTCACATCCAGCATGGTGTACGTGTGCGCGCGCACACACACACACACACACACACACACACACACACACACACACCTGTGTACCATGCACAGGCACGCATCCCTGCGCACACTCACAGCGCTGCTGTTTCCCTGCATCTGTTGGGACCCGGCAGCGAGAGCAACCGCCTCACAGCTGCCACTCCAGGCATCCCTGGCACGTGGGGAGATACGGGGCAGCATGGTGACGCCGTCCCTCCCTGCCAGTCGGTGCCCATCATCTCACACTCCCGCTGGCTGCTGAAGCAGGGTGAGCTGCAGCAGATGTCGGGCCCCAAGACCTCCCGCACCCTGCGCACCAAGAAGCTCTTCCGGGAAATTTACCTCTTCCTCTTCAACGACCTGCTGGTGATCTGCCGGCAGATCCCAGGGTGAGCGGCCGGTGGGCTGTCCTGCGGGCAGGGGATGCGTGGCCGGGGCCTCTGTCGGACCGACACCCTGTCCTGCCCACCTCGGTCCCCAGGGACAAGTACCAGGTGTTCGACTCGGCCCCGCGGGGCCTGCTGCGCGTGGAGGAGCTGGAGGACCAGGGCCAGACGCTGGCCAATGTGTTCATCCTGCGGCTGCTGGAGAATGCAGATGACCGGGAAGCCACTTACATGCTGAAGGCGTCCTCTCAGTAGGTGCAGCGCCCGTGCCACCCAGGGCCCATGGGGCTTCTGCCAGGGCAGCAGTGTCGGGCTGTGGGCAGACAGATGGCATAGCCCTGGGCTGCTCTGGGCACGTGTGCGCCCATGTGTAGGGTGAGGCCCTCTTCCCACGTGGGACAGTAGAACCTGGGGGCTGCCGACACCTCCCCCGCCCGCCCACGCTCTGTGCGGCCACTGTCCCTGTCTGAGGGCTAATTGGAGAGAGCCACCGCCTCCTCCCCTCCTACTCCGTCCCTTACCACAGCCCCCCAGGGTCCTCCCCTGCTGGGACCTCCACTGAGGCAGGATGGACACTAACTTTTCCTGTCTTTGCCATGCTGAGGAACTGTGGCACCCATAGACCTGGCGTGGAACGTGACCTTGGAGTTAACTTGCAGGGCCTTGCCTGGTTCTCCCCGGACTCTGGGCCAGGCCGGGGTGGCTGCCACCTCCCTGGGGGTAGTTTTGCTCCTGCTCCTCGGTGGGCTATGTGCTCTTTTCCCTGTGACAGGAGCGAGATGAAGCGCTGGATGACCTCGCTGGCCCCCAACAGGAGGACCAAGTTCGTTTCCTTCACATCCCGGCTGCTGGGTAAGTCCCCGCAGTGGTGTCTTCGGGCCCCGACCTGAGCAGCACCTTGTGAGGATGGGGAGCCCTCACCACGCTCAGCAGCCCACCCAGAGCTGGGCTAACACAAGATGAAGAGTGTGGACATCCCAGACCACCAGGAGAAATTGGGGCCCCAGCAGCAGGGCTTTGAGGTGCCTGTTGTCTGGACAGCATATATGATCCTGGGGCACACGAGTCTCCTGGCACCCCTTGTCTCAGCCTCTCAACCGCCCCAGTGCTGCACCCCAGCACCCTTAGACGCCAGAGCTGAGAGCAGCTCACAGTTGGGAGTCCAGCTCCTGGGGCCTGGACACAGCCTTCCCGTCCCCCACAGGAGCCCTTTGTCGGCTCCCATCCCTGTCCACTTCTTCATGCCACCCTGGGCTTGCCCCAGGGCTGGGGCAGGGCAGGGGACCCGGTGCTGGGTGCGCACCATGGCCCTCCCTCTTGCCCACAGACTGCCCCCAAGTCCAGTGTGTGCACCCGTATGTGGCCCAGCAGCCGGACGAGCTGACGCTCGATTTAGCGGACATCCTGAACATCCTGGAGAAGACAGAAGACGGTGAGCCCCTGCCCCACCGCCAGTGCCGCTGGCCGAGTGCCCTCTTCCCTGGGACAACCTGGCCTCAGCCCCCACTACGGTGAGGGGGTGGCACCCCAAGGCTGTTGGGCAGCAAGCTGCCAGGGAAGCCCAGGGTCCCAGACTTGGGGCCCTGGGTGGGCTAAGAAGCACCCAGTTTGTACCAGCTTTTCGGGCGGCCTCAGCACTGTGAGGAATTGAACCCACCCTCTCCTGGTCACGGTGCCTCCTCCAAGATGCTTCTACATTAATGGCTCCTGGTCAAAGTCCTCACAGGACACAGAACCCTCTCTGCCCAGCTCCTCTGGCCCAGGTCCTGGCCTCCATCACACCCCTCATTCCCAAAGTCGTGGGGCTCTGATCCTCCCACCCCAATGTACACAGCCCAAGGGCCACCCCACCAGCGGGGATGGGCCACAGGCCCAGGCCCAGGCAGAGCCTGGGGGGAGAGAGAGAGAGAGAGAGAGAGAGAGAGAGAGAAGGCAGGGAGTGCGAAAGCTGGGCACCATGCGACTCAGGCTGGTGGAGGCGCCCTCAGATGGCCAGGCTGGGCCTCTGCAGGCGGAGACGCCGGGAGGTGCTGCCCAGTGACAGGGTGACCCGGAGCCTGGCAGGGAGAGCAGGTGGCCAGCCACCGCCACCAAGGTGCTTGCGCTTTGGGGGGGGACCCTTGGGGGTCTTGGCCTTCATGTGATTGCTGGGCCCACAGCTCCAGGCCTCCCCAGTTCATGGTGGTGAGCGGTGTCCCCCAGCTTTGCACACAGATGGGGCCCTGGCTAAGTGGCACCTCCCCTGGGGCCCCTGCCCCTGCCCCACAGGGCACCCGACTCTGCCACACTCCCTCACAGGGTGGATTTTTGGTGAGCGTCTGCATGACCAGGAGAGAGGCTGGTTCCCCAGCTCCATGACAGAAGAGATCCTGAACCCCAAGATCCGCTCCCAGAACCTCAAGGAGTGTTTCCGCGTGCACAAGATGGAGGACCCTCAGCGCAGCCAGAATAAGGACCGAAGGAAGCTGGGCAGCCGGAATCGGCAATGACCTTCGTCGCAGGCGCCAGCCTGGTGGGAGGATGTGGGCAGGGGAGCAGGCTGGTGCGTGCAGAGGGCTCTTGGGAAGGACAGGCCAGTGCCTCCTGGGCAGCAGGAAGTGGCCCTGCCCATGCATTGAGTGCCCAGGTGCCTCCGCTCTTTTCGGCACTGCTTACAGACGGAGACAGTGCCCACGTGACCATCTGCAGAGAAGGAGTGTCGGGCAGTGTCCCCACCTCCCCCCGTCTCTTGTCGGCCTCTGGGACTGGCAGAGGCCCAGAGCCAGTGTCCCTGGCGGGGTCGGGCGGAAGGTGACGACTGTCCTGATCCCCTGCACTGCACGCGTTCTTCCCTAGCAGGCGCCCAGAGGGCCGCCCTTGCCTGACAGCTTCCAGAGAGGCCTTGGTCTCTGGCTGCCGCCTCCGTCCCCCCTCCAGCACCTCGGCTGCTCCGGCCGCCCAGCAGCCCGCTCCATGCAGGTCCAGCAGGGCTTGGCTGAGCCGACTGCCTCGGGCTCCTCCTCCATGGCCGGCATAACTTGTGTTTTTTAGCCCCTCCGGGAGCCCAGGTGTCTTACGGAATGAATTGGTCACTGCATCTTGTACAGTTATGGTTCCGAGAAAAGCAAATATCATTTTTGGCTGCATTAAAGAAGCATCATGTATTAAGTCAGAGATGGAGGTCTATTCTTTATTGCCCTGGTGTGTGCAGGAGCCAGGGGCTTGGTGCTGGACTGGGCTGGGAGCACCAGAGTGTCGGGGGTCCTCAGGGAGCGTAGGAGAGGCTGTCCAGGAGAGGAGAGAGCAGTGCCCAGCCTGCTGGGGAGTCCTTTGTGCGCAGAAAAAGGGGACAGGTTTACAAGGCTGTTGCCCGCGGCCAGTGGTCCCCAGGGGACACGACTGCAGGCCTGGGGCTGGACCAGGCCGGACTCCTCACCGTCAGTGGAACCAGCTCCTCAGTGGCACCAGCTCCTACGGCCCAGCCATCCCGCTGCTCCTCCCATCCCCCTCGGGCCTCCCCACACTCTCGGGAATCGCTTTCTTCCACAGCCAGACCTGCCTTGGAGCCATTGCGCCTGCAGCAACCTCCACAGGCCACCGTGGGGCTCCAGGCATCCACGCATCGCGGTCACGGAGAAGGGGCCCTGTGCTGGGAAGGAAGGGCTCCAGCTCAGGGCCCCCCCAAAGCGGGAAGGAGCTGGGATAAGGACCGTGAGCCTGCACCCAGCCTCGGGCAGATTGATTCAGGCCATCTGTGCAGTGATGGCTTCCAGGCTACGTAAACAACTGAAAGAGCTTCACAAGAATTGGCCAGTTTTGTAACAGAAACGTTTAACCCATCATGTGTTTGGGGAAGACTGCTGGAGTGGAGGCATGTCCAGAAATAAACAGGTTGTGGCAGGACCAGGTGCCATCAGGGCTCAGGAAAGCCAGAAGCCAAAACTGCTGACAGATGATGGCAAAATACAAGAGAGGAAGCCGGGTGTGGTGGCACATGCCTGTCTGTAATCCCGGTACTCAGGAGGCTGAGGCAGGAGGATGGCAAGTTCCATATTATTTGGGGCCGCCAGAGCAAAACCCGGTCTCCAAAAATAAAAGGGGGAGGAGCAGTGAACAGCTTCCCATGTATCCTCAGCCATGGACTCCTTTGCAATAAACCTTCCTCAAGGGGTTGCAGAATTTCACAGTCGCACCTCCAGGCCAGACCAGGTTATTAAAGCTATTCACAGGCTCCTGCCAGGCAAGGAGGGAGGGTGAAAGGAAAGGCAGAGTGGAGAGGCGGTTCCTCTTCCCTCAGCACCAAGCTCCAAGGTTCAAGCGCAGTGGGAAAGGCCTTTCCCCAGCCCGGGCCGCAATGGGTCAAGGGGAGGAGACAAGCGGATACCGCGGGCTTCACCCCTCAATTTGTCCCATTCTTGGGTCTCCCTGGAGTAGAGGGGCTCTCGGGGCCCAGGAGAGCCCAGGGTCTGGGGCTGTCAGAGCAGACAGGGTCTCTCAGAGCCAAAAGACACCCCTCAGAAGTGACTGGGCTCAAGCACAGGGCCGAGGCTCTGAGCCTCACGGACTCGCTTCCCTCCCACCCGGGTGCTTGTTCTGGCCGGTCGGGGAGGGAGCCCG